TACCATGTGGAGAAAAGCTCCAGAAATTCATAATTTTATATGATGATGAACTGTTTGGTATAACGTTTTCGTTTATATATAGACATTTACATTAATCCATTTAATGATTTTCTAAACATTGTTATAAAATTTCATATAGAATTGATCAACAAGGGGACAAAAAAGTTCATCACATTATTCAGCCACTTCGCCGTGAATGGAAATGTACTCAGAGTGGAGAACAATACTTATTTATTTAGTATTATCTAAAAATGAACAAAATGTGTGTGTTTTATCACTACTTAAGAAATTTGTAACAATAATACATTTTGTATTTTTAGTTATAGAATCTACAGTATTTGATTTTTTCCAATTGCAGTTCCACCAAATATTGACAAATTAAAATTCCCTACAACTATTACACCACTCGGACCTACATCTTACGACAACGTTCCATATACACATGTTAACAGAACTAAACGCCAGGTGACACTGACGTCATCAAAAATTGAACCGGAACTTCTTTTATTTTGTGACAATGCTATGGTCCAACAATTTGAAGGGGACACAGACGAACTTCTTGAATATCTTCTGCATTTCTGGCACGCAGTAAGAAAAAAAGTGATAGATATATCGAATTTAACCAATGATTATTCTCAGACAAGGAGGTGGTGGCGTCAGGGCAATTATTATAAATTTTCCCTACTTTACTGCCAGACTTATTTAAAATATTTTGTCATAAAATAATTACTTCTAGCAATATAGTTTTATGCGGTTAATTTGCACCAAGAAAAGACGCACTATTTAGCACTGTTCACACATACTGGAATTTCATGAGTAAGAATACAGTGGATAGGTCTACAATAGGCTCAATTCTTCCAGATAAATACTAGTTATAGAGTAAGCAGTGTTCGTATACAGTGATATAATGCTATATGAACGCTTCGTAAAACAAAATATGTCAGATATCCTAATTAAACATTTATTACAATGTCATGTATATCAAATTGTTATTTTTAGTTATGTCAGAACAGCTTGTGACGAATATGATAATTTAATGCCCTAAAAAAACTAAGCATGATGTATTAAGTCAAAGTATTTACTTCTACAATGAGTTATCATTTTCAGGTTAACTGGAAATTCCTAACAATATCACTACAAAGACAGTGGCCACATATAGATCTCAAGATTCGAGAGATAGGTGTATTTCGAGACCCGTCAGCCCAGCCATTTATAGAGGAGAATCGTATACGACGTGGTAGTAGGTTGTTCTCCCTGTATGACGCCATGGACAGTCTGCAAAGATGGCTTGTCAAGTACGAAACTGTCCTTCCATTACATGATGCTGCTTTTCTGCAAACTGGGTAAATAATTTACAATACAACAGAATTTGATAAACACATACAAATCATTGTATAAAACAATCATAGTTTATATGAAATATAAAATGAATGAATCTTATTTTGAATACTTTATAATTCCTTTTAATATAATTTCAAGGTTTGTTCAAGGTTTATAGTACAATTTTGGAAACGAAGGTACTTTATAAGTTTTTGTTTTAAAGGTTTACAAATGCAATATTGTTATAAATGATTAGTGTGTATTTTATTCAACTTTAGTAATTACGCTCTAGATGCATTATCTGAAGAGTATCTTTTTCAGTGAGGACAAGATTTTTCGATAGCGCGGGGTTTTAAAACCCCAGAAGAGGTTTTTTTTTCATTTTTTTTCTTTTCTATTTGTTTGGCCAAAAATACAAGAATAAAACAAACAACCTGTTTTTTTCCAAAATGAGCCTTAAATGACAAGTCATACACGACGGTTTTAAAGACAGTAGATTTACGAGTGATTTTGAAGATGAAGAGGAAATAGATGGTTGTTTGTGTAGCGAGGAACAGCAGGTTGACTGGTCAAAACTTGACGAGCTGAAAATATAATTCGTTCTTGATCAGAGATTATTTAAGTGTGAACAACTAAAACTTGTTGACAATTTAGAAAAAAAAACCTTTCATTGTTTTGTAGAAAAAATGAAGATCATAGAGACATTTACATTGTATAAAGAAAAACGTCAAAAAGATTTGAAATGAAAAAAAACTTTGTAAGTTAACATTAACGCGGATGGAAGAAAAACACCTGTACAAACTTATCAATATTCAACCTTTGAAATTTGTCATCTCCGTAAATTCCATCTAATATATAAAGATTGATATACATTACTTATGTAGTTCGTAGTTTGTATATGTTTGATTAGCTGAATGATTATGAAATCAGATCACGTGATCATTTACGCAATCAAATGTCAATTTCAATAAGTAAGAGATAATTACCGATCGAACATTAAAGACAGCTGCTTCGTTATAATGATGATATAAAACATTTATGTATAAAAGTTCAATGTAATCATTTAAAACTAGAGACAATTGTCGCTTGACTACCACACTATCATTTATATCACATACAGGCCAGTATTTATCTGCCTGGCATATAACCCACGTGATAGAAAAGATTCTGCAAATGTCATACATAAAACTTATCTCTAAGGCCATATATTGTACTCTAATTAGTCTGTCATAAAGACGTTATATTTACTCGCACAATGGAGGACGTATATCTTTAAGTCAACATAACAGTTTAAACATTAATCCTTTTGATGTTATTTTTAAAAAAAAAAAATAAATATCGGTCAAATTAAAATCACGATATAAAGCATAAATAAAATGAACATTTTTTTTTTCCATTCTGTGGAATGACGAAATATATGTTATATAATATTGTGGTCATGGATTAAGAGCATGTGAAAAGCTTATTGCCTGAAAGAAATAACGCTCAATGTAACATAATATGTCATGAGAGTAGCAAAACGTATGTATACAACGTTGTGATTTGACTTCCATTCAAAATACTTAATTACGATAACTTTACGAATTACGAAAACCCAAAAGTCTCAAAAGTTTACTTACCTATTGTGGCCAATAAGTAACGTTTTGAAAACTTATTCGATACATTATCAAAGGATTACATAACAGTCTAGCACAATATATAGCGTCATCGTACATACCTGGAAAATTCATAATTAGATTAAGAAATGTTTTAGACAAATTTTTAAAAAAATTGAAAGTTGGCCAGTCTGCAGTATAAAGCCTTATAAGACTGTGTCGACAGGTCAAAATCTTGATGGTTTGATATTTCAACATTGTTAGAGTTAAACTCTATCTGCGTCAATGTTTTATTGGCGTCCGCGCCGAAGCGCGGCGCCTTTTATGTAATGAAATCAGATTTTGTGAAAGGGCGACAGCAACTTCTCGAGCCTTTTATAGTTGTTCATAATAAAAGCCGATCATTCCGATCGGTATGAGGGTGCTTGATTATTAATTAGTCGCGATATGTACAATGAATAGCGAACTGGAGAATTTCGCAATGCAAACATTTTCAAATTAAATAACCTTTTCCGTCAATAAATCGCGCTCTTCAAGGTATTTTTATTTATCATTTTGTAGTACACAGTGGATTATTATGGTATGTTATTTCGAAAGCTGTAAATAGAATGATGAGTTGATGACCTAAATATTCCGAAAATCTATTTATAGAGGGATGTACTCCTGTCGGTAATTCCCGGTCTCTCCTGGTCTATTTTGACGACCGGCGAATAGCACCACTCGTTTATTGTCCGGTCTCTCCCGGTTTTGGAGTAGATGTTTGATATCGTTACAGAACAGAACAAATATTTTACAGATAAATAAGCTTTTTTTCAAAATGAATGTTTGTCACTTAGTTTGGTTACAATAATTAATAAACACAGATCAACTCTCAAAATTATTACTTATTATTATACATAAACATACAATTCGAAAAAAAAAACCCCAACAACACACATCTCATGTTTTATTTTATCTATATGAGATAAAAACAATAAATATGAACAATAATTGAGAAAAAATGTACATCTTTATGGCATTAATATGACACTATCAACTTTGAAACATTTTATTTAATTTGTTATTCGTGTTTAGTAAAGATGCCGAGGAATTATTCAAAGTTACAAATCAGATTTTATGAATAATTCAATTGATTGATAATTTAAGAAATGATAAAGAAAAATACAAATGTACATGTATATGGTTTAAAAATAAACAATATTATATATTGAAAGATTAACCATAATTTACTGACTTTTTCCAGTTAAGTTTTGACTTATAATCGTCGGTCATTATGACAATTGAATTCTTAAAATAATAGTAAACGTAAAAACTCAGTATTTAAAATAGTGCATAAAACACAAAAAAAGAAAAGAAAACAATATTCATAAAATCTGTATTTTTTTTATTAAAAAGATATTACAATTAGTGTATAATAAACATTTATGCTCAACATGGTAATATAACAAGTGTCATATTGTTACTAAGTGTGAACAGATACCTTAAGAGGGGGTCTTCGCTAATAGCGATAACATAATAAGGGACAATTACACATGTGTGGTGTTGATCATGCGTTACTCATATGGATTATAAATGATTGTATACATGTATATCCGTTGCTATTAATAATCACGATCATAAAGAAATAACAAGTATTATTATATGATCTATAAATAGCTTTGAAATGCCTTTCTCCGATTGGTTAAGATGTAATTTTTCGTAAAAAATAACCAGTGAATATCAGAGTATATTCACTGTTTTTTTTCTAAAAATAGTTTTTCTAAGTATATTCACCGCTTTTTTTCCAAAAATAGAAGTTCTGGAAATACCCAACATCTATTTATTATTCGGCAATTTCCGGTCTTGGAATTCTATCGCGGAATATATCGATTGTCATTTCGGGAAATACCGATAGTTATTTCGGCAAATTCCGTTGAATGTTTATTCCGGAAGTGTAAGCGTTTCCGGTGCGTTCTTTTGACAGCAATGGAAAAAAAACAAGAAACGTAGATTTGCTTCTTATTCTGACTCGGATTTACACAAATTAATTGAGGATAAAATTCAAAAAACACAAAAAAGTCCACAGAATTAGCAGTTCGTGTATTTAGGGCGTACTTACGTGAAAAGGGACTAAACGAAAGTTTTGAAGACTCGTCTACGGCGGATCTCGACAGTATTTTGTGCAAGTTCTTTGCAGAAATTAGGCAGAAGAATGGTGAAGTTTATAAAAAAGACATCATTTATTGCTATTCGTCATGGCATTAGCCGTTTTTTTGGATAAATTTGACATTGTTAAAGGACCTGAATTCAAAAAATCACAACAAGTGTTTCAAGCCATGGTCGCTGAACTTAAACGACAAGGAGCTGGTGGAATTGACCACTACCCACCATTAGAACGTCAGGATCTTTTGAAGTTGTATGGCTACTTTGATGTCAGTGACCCAGAAAATTTGCAAGAGAAAGTAAGTAGAGCTCTAGACTGCATACGTTCATTAATGTTATAATTAGCAAGAAATATTTTTTTTATAAAATTAAAAAACGCAAATAGGTATTTTATAACTACATAAATATATATAGATACATATACAGATTTACTTTCTTTTTTATAAAATGTACATTTAGCTGACACCTTGGGATTGCTATCATGTAACTGTTTAAAGGTATATTTCCATACATTACAAAAAAACAATCCTTTTACATGAATATTTGTCCCATAAACTATAAAATTGTCCCAAAACATGTAAGTCTTATAACATCACTTTATATGTTTACAGGTGTTTGTTGATATTATGTTGCACTTTGGGAGAAGAGGTCGAGAAAACCTTCGTGATCTTTGTGTTAGTGATTTTGGTATGACAACAGACAGTGATGGCTTACGATACATTTACCTACGTAAAGATGAGCAAACTAAGAACCATCAGCTTGATACAAATACAGCCAAAGGCAGCATGTATGAGATTAAAGGTAACTTTATCCTGTTGAATAATAAAAAATGAAATAAAGAATTTAACACATATTTTGGAAGAAATTGAAAATCTATATACAGAGGATATATAAAAATTTATTTAAAAAGTAAAACTCATGGTGTTATAGTACATGATATATATATATAATGTTAACATATAAATGCATTCCTTTTGTCAAAATAAAATAAAGTAAAAATATGTGCTATTTTTTTTGTATTTCCAGGCTATGATGAGAAATGTCCAGTCAGAACATTTATACAGTACAAAAGGTTATTGCCACCTGGATGCAACTATCTTTTTCCAAGACCATTAAAGATGCCCACTAAAGATGGCTTTTACTTCAGTTTACAGCCATTAGGTCATAACAAACTTGGTGGGATGATGGCTTATCTGAGCAAAAAAGCAAAACTATCACATTCTTACACAAACCATAGTTTGAGGGCCACTGCAGTACATATTTTAGATGGTGCACATATTCCTACAAGGCACATTATGACTGTCACAGGGCATAAAGCTGAATCTAGTTTAAAAACTTATACAGGATACACTGATCACAATACCAAGAAAGCAATGTCTCACACTCTCAGTAAAAGTGTCGGATTAACTGTGTCTGACTCAATCTGTGAAAATTCTAAAACTGTTACATTAGACAATGATGGTGCTGTAAGTGATTATAAACAGAGTGAGAGAGATCATCTGGATCTTACAACTTCGACCTTGGATCCATTAACAAACTCTCAGTTTGATAAAGTATTACAAGAATTTGATAATGTCGCTGATCCATTTTGATGATATTCTTAGGATATGCCAGTACCAAAACACATTTGTGAATCAGCAGCAAAGTTCTGTTATGAATTTCAGCTCGAATTTGAATTTTAGATCCCTACCATTTCCAGTCATTACTGGTACAAATGCTAATGTCACAATTAACTACAACATCATCAATGGGAAATAATTCATTAACAGTAATTAACTTTGTTGCATTTGAGTGTTTATAATGCATTTAGCAGTAATTAACTTTGAGTGTTTTACTTTATAATGCATTAAACAGTAATTAACTTTGTTATATCATAGTGTTTACATACTGAGTTTTAAGTTGTATTATATACTATGTGAGGTAAAATACATGTATACTATAGTAGATTTTTTGTTATCATTTGTCATTTTTATGTTAGAAATCCTAAAAAGGGTGTTTTACATCTAGTCAATTTAACCATATAAAAGCTATTTATAGATTATATAATAAAACAGATATGGACTTTTTAGCTGGTGAATATGATGTGATATGTACGGCTATCGCCTCGGTCAATATTAATTTTTTCAGTACATATCACATCATATTCACCAGCTAAAAAGTCCATATTTGTATAATACATGTATTCTAATTTCTAGCATGCCAATCAAATTTATGAATAATGAACAATGTCTTTCGTTCGTTCATTCATAAGTGATATACAATTCTGGTTAAAACCAATGAACCATTGAACAGTTTATCATCATATATCTACTAGTTCATCTGCACCTGCTGCATTTCTTGCTTGGACGCCCTTTGATGCTTTGCATCAATGCTTTTCTTGTAATAGTACTGCAATGCAGTGAATAATTAATGAAAGTAGTATTACAATAAAAATAGACATATAAATTATATGCGTCAGTTGCAGTATTTTGATCAAAATTGTCTACTGTCCACGTTTTGAGATGATGAACCATCATAAAGACAATATAATATATACAGGATCTAAAGCACACATGCATTCATGTTCCTATTATTTATTTCATGATCATTTAAAAATTTATTTCCCGCAATAAAAATGATCAATTGTATTTTCGTTGCGAATTTTTTAAAAAATATTCAGTAAGAAACCGATTTTCCCCTTAAAAATGGGTGATTAATCAAATATTTCCTTTTCAAAGGGCCATTTTTAAAGGGCAACATAATTTAATACTTGTTCAATTTAAATTTTTTTAAAATAGAATAGTTTAAAACATTTCGAAAGAAAACCAAAAGAAATTTTATTATACGTTTAACGTGTAAAAATGTAACATAGGTTTGACTCATGACTAAAGTAATCGACTATGTTTGACTATTACGCAAACATTATTTCCTTTGTGAGTCATGGTTATAAACAGAAAATGTTAATAATTTACATTGAGCAAAATATCTGAAATACAAGATATCGACTTCAGTTAAAACCGTTGAGATGCTAACATAGAAAAATTATCATGCTTATTGAATTTATCGAAAGTTTTTTTCCCCGCTATCATGCTATAATTATGATATTGGATACTTTCCTTGATACAAGCTCTACTAAGATCTATGTACAAATACATATACCAATAAAGTCTATGCATAAATTTTATCAATGTTATCAAATAATCGATAGGACTTTTCACTTATATCCACTTACTTTATTTTTTCAATCTGTTTCAGCAATATTTCAATTTCAGTTGTGGCAGATAACATTTTTGGTTCTCATCATTTTGCGGTTGTGTTTTATTTTCAGGCGTTGCTTACGTCAGAGGGTCTTGCTTGTCGGCACCATACTTTCGAAAACTTGCTTACAACTTTGGTATTGGAGAAGCATCAACAAGTTTTAATGATGTAATCATTGCCGCTCATGAAGTTGGACACTTGTAAGATTTTCATTTATTAATTATCAACTTTATCAAAGTTATTTTGTGACCAACAAAAATGTCCCTTTTTTAAGGCATTAATTTAAAGTATCTGACACTCCTCTTTCTTAATTCTTTATGAAATACAAAATTCTTAATGAATTTGAGAGTAAACATGGTTTAATTTGAAAAAAGAGAGTGCAATTAACCCTTATGTAAGGTACAATCAGACTTATAAGTAACTATTCCCAAAAAGTAGAACATAAAGATAATACAAGAATAACATTTAGAAACAAACTCTTTTAACTCCATTCCAAGAGATCACTGCGTTCATTGAACGCCGCCTTTCCTTGTTGATCTTGTTTATCATATTCTATAGGCTATAGTAACAGTCACCTGTAAGTTAGTTAAATTTATTTAGGAATAGACAGTTTCAGTTTATGAAGAATATCAAATGGTGATATTTGACGTTTCATTATAGTTTGCCAGATCGTCAATGAAGCACTGAGCAATAAATCAACTAATTAATAACTGAAACTGTCATATTCGTATTCTTTATAATCATGATCTTTGAGAGTTTAAGCTGCTCAATCAATGGATTAAACACGAGGCAAGACTGGGTGTCTATCTAAATGCAACACATGGTCCTCACTGACGCACAAACACGAAACAAATTTAATAGAATGTCTTAGCAGAGCAATTAGTTATTCTCATTGGATCATGCATTGACTGATAATTAAATGACTGTCAATTAAATGTAAAATTAATTGACTGTCAATTAAATGTAAAATAAAACATAACACTCACAGTCTGATACTATTTAGCAAACAATACTTCAATTTTGAGTCATGGTCTAAATGTTTTTACATTTAGCAAAATATCTGTAATACAAAATATAGGTTTCAGTTAGAGCATTGCAGTGCTACCATGGAAAATTTATCACGTTCATTCAAATTTATTGAAAGTTTTTTTTCTGTTAACATGCTATCATTATGATAGTGAATACTTCCCTTGATTCTAGCACAACTACAAAAGTCTATGTACATTACATATACCATTAAGGTCTATGAATGAATGATCTTACATGTTTTTTTCGTTTATAACATATCTTCAATACGGTATGTCGCATTATTCATCGAATGTTACGTTACGTTATGTTTTAGCCTTACATAATAGAGTTGTGAAGAGTATTGCCTTACCGTTAATCTGTTAGGTTTAAGACAATAAAAGTATGTTTTGTTTTCTATTTGTTATATTCAGACTTGGAGCATATCACGACGGTGAGGCAGAGGCCCGAGGGTGTGCCAGTAATTCTGGCTATATTATGAGTTATTCCAGGGAAGATGCCTATAAATTCAGCCGGTTTTCACCATGCTCTATATCAAGCTTTCAAAACTTTCTCAAGTATGTGAACAAACATGTGTCTTAAATAAGATTTCATTATTACTCTTCATACCATTCTTTTTTCAAAACGAAAAAGGAAAAGTTCAATATTTTTCAATGTACGCTCGTAATTGTTTTTATAACAAACACAAAACTTACTTTCTATATAAAAAGAATACAAATTTGTAATATGAAGTATTTTGCACATGATACACTTGTTATTTAGTTATTTGACTTAACAAAATTACTATATAAGTCAAGCATGTGGAAAAATATCGCCAAATATAGAGTCTAAATATTTTATATGTGTGATTCAAATGAATCATATAACGCACTTACTTTGGGGTTAATCGGCTATAACTATGAATAACTACATGTATATATAACTATAAATCAGGCCAGCAAATCAACTGTTTATAAAAAAATTGAGCCATTCTTGACCAATAAAATTTTGTACTGATGAACACTATCCTGTAGTAATTATCTATCATTTCCAGTATGGATCGTTCTGCATGCCTCAGACAGAGGGCAAGCAATGAAATTATGAAATTTCCGACATCATTTCCGGGAACCTATATGTCTATAAATGAGCAATGCCGACGATTCACCGGTGGACCACCTTGCGAGGTAAAACACTCATTAATAATGAAATAATTTGATGTTTTAAGATATTTTTCCTATGAAAACAGCTTTCTTTTTTGACGAATGTATTGCATAAAGCATTTAAACAATATCAATGATCATAAACAGCTTAAAACGGACCTTAAACATTGTTTTAAGACTAATTCTAATCAACATTGTACCTTTCTAAGTTCGACGGTTAATGTTTCATTCATGTCTGTATTTGTGCCAGAGCAAATCGAACTAGATACAATGATAAAAGGAAAAGTATGATAACAGATTTTGTACAAGATCATTGTTATTTGATTTATTTTAAGATTGGACCTAAACAATGTGAGCATCTATGTTGTGATGATGCCAAGGGTCAGTGGAGATATACGCGGTCAGAACCAGCTGTTGATGGGACTTCTTGTGGTAAAAGAAATGTAAGAGTTGGTGAAATGTATATTTACTCAATTAAAACAAGTTGCTATGCATGTACTTGGTCCTCAGTAAAATGTATTACAGAATAGAATTTTACCTCTTGCATACAATTGGATCGTCGTTTTATATGCTTCTTTCAGAACTTATGGTTTCACCTTTAAATAAAAGCTTTATATAACATTTGATGTCACTGTCATTATTTGCTTTAACGAATGTCAACGCTGTTTATAAAATAGGTTGAAATGTAGTCTATTACTTACTATAAGTGGCCCTTTTCGAAATTATTGACTCGCGCTTCATTTTATCTATTATAATGTTATTTTAATTTGCAGGTATGTTTGAATGGTCAATGTATTTCATTAGCGTCATTTGGATAATCGTTTATGTGTATGTATGAATATTTGATATATGAATAAATCTTAATCTTAGATTGCATATTCGTACTGGCGGCATGCTTTTATAAACACAGTAGTGTGCATCAATCTTAAAAATAATTAAACCAGACTAAGTTGGTTCGGTCACCTGTACCAAGTTTGGTGCGGTTATCCAAAGTAAGAGTAACCGAAATTTTCTTTCATCGGGACATAGTTTAAACATATTTTAAACATCCCAGTGTAGTTATATATATATAAAAGTCATTTGCTGATCTGAACATTTTTTTAAAGATCTTTCATTACAATTTTGTCCATGCTGATTTCGTGAATTTTTGTATCATAGCTAATTCGTTGAACATTACAGGTAGTTTATTTATTTCTGCCACATCGACACAATATTTGTGAAGGGAGGAAGAACTGTGATGCGCCACAGCCTTTCTGGAAAGTTATTTATGATATATGATTCAACAGATCGTTGATATAAGCTCCTTTATGGAGTGTAAACATTACCACTGTCAGTTATAGATGTCATCCATATGTGTTAAGAACAAAGTGTTATTCAGCTGTTCATATACTTCTGAAAATATCATAATTGTTTTAGTTTGGAGCAATAAGCGCAGTTTGTTTCCTTTGATTTTAACTGGAAATCTAAAACATTGTTCCACATATTATCATACATCGATCTTCTAATCGGACAAATTGAATTCCAGTCGCATTAAAAAGGTAAAAACTATAACAGTTTACGTGAAACTAAACATGTTTGTGGTTAATAGTTTACATGAAACTATTTTCTTTCCGTAACAACGTTTATGGCTTCTGAAGAATCATTGTATTTTAAAAGGTTTCAGAAATTCAAACAGAATGATTACTTTCTTCATTCGGATATAAATTCCCTTTTCCTTGTTTTTGTTTATATATTTATTCTGTAAATAATGTGAATTACAATTTGTGATATGTAATGTTGTCCATCTATTATTTGTTAAATGCTGTTGTTAAACTGGGCACTAAACTTACTAAACAATAAATTAATAATTCTATATTTGTAACATTACTTCAACTCACTCTTAATAACATTAATTCAATTCTATATCTATTTTGAAATAACTCCAAACAATCAAAACACACAAGAAGGGTTATTTTATGTGAAAATATATTTCACAAACAAACTATCAAGGTGTTAATGAAAGCATCAAAACCATTTCTGTTACATCAATTTGATTATAATGTTTATGTCTATTGCACACAGAATATTGTCATTATTACATGTGAAAACTTAATAAAATGTTTTTATTTGATGAATGACTCTCTTTTTTCTATGCTATGAGATCGTGTATAACTTTCCTGCTTTATAAAATGAGCCGCGTCACGACAAACCAACGTAATGCGTTTGCAACCAGCATGGATCCAGACCAGCCTGCGCATCCGCGCAGTCTGATCAAGACCCATGCTGTTTGCTATCAGTTTCTCTGCTTGTAATAGGGCTGGTAAGCGAACAGCATGGATCCTGATCAGACTGCTCGGATGCACAGGCTGGTCTGGATCCATGCTGGTCGCAAACGCTCTGTGTTCGTTTTGTCGGGACGCGGATCAAATAGTGTTTAACGTATTTATGTTTATGTAAAAGTGAAAGCTATCAATATTAATTCTGTAAACAGAAAGATATCCGTTAGTTTTCCTGATTTGAAACAAGAAGTAACTTTAAAAAAAGATACTTGGCCGTGGCAAATTTGCTTTTACATATACATATATAAATAATTATGTACTTGCAAAAATCATTTCCATGAAGATATGATAGCAATGCCTGTTTAATAATGAAATAATGACAGTTACAACTCGTGCAAATTAAAAGTTAAAAATTGCAAACAGTTATGCAGGGTAGTCAGTAGTGTTAGTCCAACAAACTGTACTACGAGTTGATATATTGTGCTATTTTATGTTTGGGTAAAATATCTCCTCTTTACGACATAGAAGTGATATTCCGATCTAGAAAAAAGTATGTCAAAATCTAGCTTTGCATGTTGAAATATTTTGACTTTCAGAAGGTTCTCAATCACTCGATTCAATTACTCCTCGATCAATGTTTTTATAAGTCAAATAAAATAAGACTCCTAGACATCAGTTTGTTATTTTAAAATGACCCATGACAATTCTGGAAGTCAAAAAGATTTTAGACAACCTTCGGCTGAAATAAAAACACTCTATGTATTACAGTTTGATGTATGGCATTAACGTCAGAATTTAATGCTACCGATAATGTACAATTAACTGTGTACACCATATAGACAGCAAACCATACGTTCTTATTTTCTTGCTTTGTAAAAATATTTGACAAACGTAACTGTTCGGAAAGTTCGTGCACACAATTAATTTGAGACGGTGAGTAGTATAGAGGCGTCTGTTCTACTACGGTGAAATCTTAAAGCGTTAAAATGTTATTCTATTGACATAATAATTTCTTCGTTAATCAGAAATGATGTTTAACGTTCATTTTCTTATAAACTTCAGAGTGCATTGTGTATCTTTTGTTTGTTTGTTTCATTTTAAGCCTTTCCCAACAGTATTTCAGTCATATAGGCGGGTAGTTTACTGACCATCGTTCCAGAAGAGTTACACCAGTACTAGACTACATTCCTACCAAAGCATCTCCCGGGGATCAAACCAACGCCAGAGAGGTTACTGGATTAGAAGTCATCGACTCTAACCCCTCGACCACGGAGGCGGTCGCATTGTGTATCTACTGCTAGTTTACAATAAAAAGATCATTGATAGACGTTTTAATCCCACATAAACTAGCTGTTTAGGGCAATTTTATCCATGGAAGTGAATATGAATCATGCTTAACCTTGTTGACAAAGTAACTACAAAATGCAATCAAACTTCAACGTTTTTTATAAGTTATGATTATTTATATTTACGATACCGAATATGACCCAGGTTAATTTGGCAGAATACAGATATTATCAAAGATTTAATGAACATTGAGAAAAAATATACGACAAATGATTTGATAAGTGATTTATTTATAAGAAATGTGTAACAAATTATCAGGTTGTAACATACATGTATTTTAATGATTATTTTACATATATTTAAATCATGATCAAATTTGTACATTATATAAGCATATAACAAATATTTAAATCAACGTGGTTTAAAACAAGTTAACCTAACACAATTTACATTTTACTCACATGCAACATATTGATAAGAAACATAAAGCAGGATAGTATCAAGTGTCACAGGGTCAGTTAGCATCGTATAAAATGATAAATGAATGAATTAAAGAAATTACGTCCAGTATTTAATTTGGCGGTTCGGTTGTACATATTAAGGCACCAGAATTAGTTGGTGCATTATGAATATTTACAACAGCTGCTCTGTTCCAGAGTCGACTCTCGTTATTTTACATGCCAGGTGTGAAATACCGATAAATGTGGCCTTGGTTTATAAGGCCTTATCACAAAACTATTAGTGTCATAAGTGATCAAGTGGGTGATCCAATTTGCGACCCCTAGTTACGACTCTGCTTTCAATTTCATTGACCACAGATCAAAGTACAAATAAAAGAGGGCATTTATGAAACAAAAAGTATCACATGAATGAGACTCACCTACATCATCTCAAAAATGTATTCTCTTATTGAACTTTTGAATATATTTCAATTTCAATTTTTATTTACAATAACACTCAGTTTGTATATCATACACAAACATGAGCAAATCAAACATGTAAACATACAAAAGATTACGTAAATAAATTTGTAAGTTATAAAATCACTTTTATTCAATGTAAAATTGCTGAAGTGATAATTTTACAAATAACAAATGATACATTTAAAAGAAATTAATTATTAATGATATTGTTACGTTATGAAAATAGCTATGTGTTTTCATCCATAAAAATATTATTTGATACACAAAAAGGAATGGGATATGTATAATAAAGGAATCTTTTTTAAAATAAAAATCAATTAGTTTTTATTCAACACTTCAAATGGTTCAGAATTCGAAATTCATTTAAATTCTTTTTATCCATGCAAAAATGATATGATAATTTTGCAACACATGAAAAATGATATATGATATATACATTGTATATATACATGTTTGGGTCTGAACTTTAATTGATTTCATCCATAAAAAAGCTAAATTTGTAGTATAAAACAACATAAAGAAAGAATTCACATAAGTCTGTAACTTGAAATATGATAAAAATGGTTAAAGACATGTAAAGGGGCTTAGAGAAGGTCAATTGTGACATATTTCGAACTATATTTCATGTTATGCAATTCCAGGTTGAAAGTCAACATTTCTATGAAATGAATCATGAAAGTGACTTGAGATAACATTATATTAAGATAAGATACATGGCGAATTTTCTATTACTTTATATATGTGATTGAATTTTTTAAGCTTTATACATATATGAAAGACACCGTAACACAAAACAACATTAATAGTTATTACTGTATTACACGATAAAGTAAAAATTCATTGATTAAATAAAAAATGCCTGAATAATAAATCTTGATAATACTTATAAAACATGTACATTTTACCAGATAATGTTTTGTTACTTATTTGAAGGCATTGTGCATGAAAATTCCAAGCATGCTCACTATCACCTGGCCATCGTTTATCGATAAGTCTATAAATGTGTACATATTCGGCTGTGGCCAATTGTTTGATAATACATTGTATATATTTATTCCTAAGTTCATCCTATTATTTTCATTCCATGATAAAATGATGCTCGTTTTCTTGCCAAAAGTACCAAACTCATGTAGTCGACGATCTGTTATGTAAGTCCATGCCAAAAATATTTTTAAATATCAAAATGGATCTCTGTACGACAAAAAATAAATGTTTTTATCTTATGGTTTTGAGTGGATTACTGATTTATCCGTGAAAATTATATTTGATAATTTCACAGTGAAAATTATCAAAATATAATTTCACCACTTTCAATGACGAGACTACTTTTTAAAGATTTTCTCTATGTGGTACTTACTGTTTATTTTGGTTACAATTCTGACATTGTTAGGGCTGTTTACACAAACGCCAAAGTGAATCTTAAATTTCAAAAGTACTCAAAAGAAAAAAATCTTACTTGAATTCGTTTAAATTACCAACCATCAAATATCGTCTCTATATTTTTATTTTATTTTTACAGCCTGAAAGAAAAAAAGCAACACTAACCCCTACATGCAAAACTGCTCTTGATGACATTTTGGCATATTTAAATATCCTAGGAGCAATAACTGGCTTATGCAAAATGAATACCAATGACAGTCACTAGCCCGAAGAATAAGTAAACAACCAAGTATTGTAGGGCAGCTTTTCAACATTTACATGTTTTCCAAATTATTAGTCGCTTTTTGAATGTTTACACGTCTGTCAACAATTATTTATGTCTTTTAAAATTTTCAAATAGGTTTTCTTTCTCATAAATAGATGTATCAGTTACAAATATAAATTAAATCCCCTCGAATCAAATACAATTATTTTCCTCACATAAAATTCACAACAAATGGCTGCCGCTTATGTCTAATATAAACTTCAGCCGAAAATAACGGAAATAAGGTCGGATTATGTAACTTTTTCTTCTACGAAAAGTGTTTTTTTTATTTAAGAAGCGATCATTAACAATTTTTGAATATAATAAATATTATTTTTCACCTCAAGACCTCGTGTATTTATGTGAAATTCGTGTGAAATTATTGAGGACTTTCAGTGGGGATATAACATATTTTGAACATTTTGATATTCCAGTTAATATTTAGAAAATTTCCAAAAAAAAAGCGACCTCCCAAAAACACAAGAAAGATAGAAAAAAAGAACAAAAGAAAAGCATAATAAAAACATCATAATCAAACACTAGTAAAGATAAATATAACATGTAAAATTAAATTTCGAAAGATAAATTCTAATATTACTTGATTTATAACCCGTACGTAATGAAATGTTTACAGGTGCAGTACTTTAAGATGCAGGATATGATTTTCGTTATGATACGGATTTTTTCTTCACTAAGTACATAAAAGGTATTTTAACCACATGTTATATTGCTTAAACAAAACAAAAGTCATTGTTAGTAACATAAGAATAAATACATAACATATATCTCAAAGATACTAGTAAACGAATTCCATAGACACCCGTTACAAGCATTTGAAGGTTGAAACATAATTAACATAACTTTAATATGTATGCTCATTTACTGAGAATCGCTCGAAATATGTGGTTGTATCTGAGAGACCATTACAAATGGAAGAATTGAATTATTCAAAAATTGGGAACACTTGACTTTACATAGATTTGCAGCTATATGATGATTTGATACACAAGAATGCATTTCCTCTCACGTTTAAATGAGTGACTTTTATTTTGATAAAACATTCTTTAATTTTTAATTTTCTCAAGTTGAATAGTCGATAACCTCTAGACTTAGCAATACATCACTAACGGTAATGTCTGCCCAAGCTAAAGGAATTCTACTTAAATCTAGCCCTTTGTCATACAATTCTTTTCTAAACTTTACAATATACCATTTCCATATTGTACAATTATCCGTTGTGTCCGATGTGCCTATGTCCCAAGATGGAAAGTGTTTTTTGTAATGGCTGTAGCTATGAAATTGTTTAGGGCATGCACGTTCTTCACCTTCGTTACACTTAAAACTAAATACTTCACAACTATGTTTTTTTGAAGACTTGACATCAAGGCTGCAAGTAGACAATATTATACTCTTCCATCCAAGTGTATGAATTCCTCTGCAACCTTTTGGTTTGTGGCGGAAACAAACATGTTTTCTATCATGATTTAAATCTAGAATACATGGCTCTGCACAATAAGGACACTGTTCAGGACAACCTGTAGCTTTCTTTATTATTTCAAGTATAGGATTAAGACCTCTCCATTTTACATCATTTAGGTCCACATAAGCAAATTGCTCTGTTAAACTAGATTCAATCTCAACTAGATTTGTAATCAAGCTATCCTTGAAACTTTCTAAATCGGCATTATTCTGGTTGTTGAGACTTTGTTTTACTGAGTTTAGACTATCAATAATTATGCCTTCTGATTTTAGGTTTTCAATCAAACCTTCGACATAACTGTCAACTGAGTCACATGGAGACTTCTGTACAGCTTGTCTTATTTTTTGCACTTGAATTTGAATCAATTCACTTGCTGCTTTGAAATAAATATCTTGTTTTGAATCTTTACCGCTAGCAAAAATATGTGTGACCTTTTTGGATATCCATTTTTCGAGGTACATATTTGGGCAATTAATGTACTCCTGAAAGCATTCAAATTTGCTACTTTCTACTAAACTCTTCATGGCTTCCCTCAAAATAACAACTTTTGATGTTGGAAGTTTTTTATTCAGTTCTTTTTTAACTGAAATTGCTAAGCTTATTTCCACTGTTTCTCGGCAAGAAGTAGTGAAAATACGTTTCATTTCTAATAATGCTTGTTCTTTCTTTTTACGCTCATCAAGAGACGAGAAAAAGAATTTCTCTGCTTGGAACTTAAGTTCTGTAACACGTGACTGTATTGTTTCTACGAACCTCTGTTGTTGTTTTTCAAAAAGATACATAGTTCTTCGACTTATATGAATGAAGATTTGTATAGACATTGTTTTATCCAGATGAAATTTTAGCACATTTTCTGTCTTAAATCGTGTCATCATGTCTTTGATTTCGCTTAGAAAATGTCTTACAGCTTGCTTTGTAATATTTGTTTCCTCCAAGCAATAAAATTTTAACTTCGTGTCAATACGATCAAACAGTTGTTCAATATGCTCTTTAATGACTGTTATTTCGGATCCTGATATCTTTCGGACGATATCATTTAAAAATCTGACCCTGATCCTACCAGTTTGTCTGATATCTAAATCATCAAATGTGCCTTTCAACTTAGTTTCAAGGTACGTGAAATCCTTTTTTTCAAGATGTGGTCTTAGTAAGGCCTTATCATTGCTAAAAATGTCGTACAAGGCGTTTTTGAAAATTTCACTTAATTCTATATCATTTTGTTTCAAGCTTTCGGACAAATATGGTGTTGAAAATAACTCCCAAATCTCATTAAATCTCTTACGTATATTTTTATCATCTGGCTTGAAGTCTGTTTCTCTCATTTTTTGTGCTAACTTAACAGACTCTGCAAAAAGTCTGTCTTTGAGAACATTGTCAATTTTCTGAGTCCATTTATAAACTTTCATATTTTCATACATCTTAAGACATTCAAATCTGCTTTGATCAAGTAATTGTCTACAAAACATTTTGAAACATTCAAGCGTTCCATCTTTCCACGGGTAAATGATTTTTCTGTATTCGCTAGCTTCAAAGTATTCACATATTTTGTTCAGAAATGCACTTTCTTCCTCATTTAATTTTGCACGAAGTGATTCATTAAATTTATTTGGGGAATATAAACAATCATCTTCAATCTGAACTGAATCTTGATTTCGAAATAGATCAGTAACGGTTTGATGCATAATATTTTCCATTTCAAATTTGTGTCTATCCATCTCTTCTGATAATTGAACATGTGCTTTAAGTTCTAGATTACTACGAAAAGAAAACAGAAAATCTTCACTTAATACACCTTTCCATAATTCATTTATGTGAAGTGCTATTTCTGTTATTGATTTATAAGATTTATGCCTTATTTCTAAAGCCTTTTCAAGGAGTTCTTTGCGAAAGCAGCGTACTTGCGAACTATATTCAGTATTAACAGAAGCCATTGGGAATATTCCTTGCCATAAATTTGACAAATACCACACACCGGAAGACATTTCAAATTCAATTATGTCGTTGAAAGAGTTTAAATCAGTTATGCCTTGAAGATCAGCAGCTTCTTTTGTTGCAATATCTAGAGATGTTGTTAATTTTTTTAATGCTTGTTCCCTTTTCTCTCTTGCTGTCGCACCTGTAACATTTTGATGTATAAAATAACAACATTTAAAAATATCTAAATTTTCATTAGCAATTTTAAGTCTTAAGAAGGCATGAACAATTACCTGAAGAACTTCATGAATTTCTCCAGCATTTTCACCCAATATATTAATCATTGATATATCTCCGATACCAGTTACTATTGTCGCTAATTCGTTATCATGCTCGTACATTCCATTATAAAGTTCTGGTGCCCTTAAACCCTCTGTATCGAGAACTAAAACAGAATCGAATGGTGATAAAGAAGATATAGGTTTCGAATTTACTGGAATAAGTTGCATATGAATACCTCTTGTACAACGACCTGAGCTCGCAGAAAACTGCGAACCAAACATCGTATTCAGGAATGTAGACTTTCCCGAGCTTTGAACACCAAGAATGGAAAGAGACAAAATTTTTGATCCCTTTGTGGTTTTTGATACCGACCCTAGAACTAAGTTTATCCATTCAGAAGGTAAATAAAAGTTGTCTCCTTCAATCAATTCAAGTGGATATCCATCAATAAAAAGTGTTGAAAAGGTTTCAGCTATCTGTTTTGGAGGCGGTAATTCATAATCTTCAGGATTCTTTCGTAAAGATATCAAAGCATCATAGATATAGCCGATTTCTCTTAAAATATAATCATACTTAAATGTATCTTCAACAGGCATGTGCCAAGCTTTACCTTTCTTTTGAAAAAATATGTTTATCCAACTGAGAAAAAAATAAATTCGTAGCTGGTCCGCATATAACTTTGATAAACATTTTGTAAATTCTACAACAAAGTTCGGCACACGTTTAAGTTGATCCTCCTTTGTACATGTAATAGCTTTGACATGTTTGCTACGTTCCTTTTCATTCTTTGCCCTTTGGAGTGACTTCATGAGACTACCAAGTTCCTTTGAGGCTGATGAATAAAAAGGTGTTATCATCCTTTCCAGTGGTTGTTTGATATCGTAATTAATATTTGATGAAGTAAATAGTTCCTCTGCGTATTTTCTCCCTGCTAAACAATGCTCGTCTTCTTCGTCGGTTTTAATCATTCTTTTTGAAGATATTCTATTTTCTAACGATTTAGCTTCGAACCCCTCTAACTGAGCTTTGAGTTTGCAAGACACATCTTTCGAAATTTCTAAAACGTTTTTGGGCCCAGTTTGTGGATGTGTGAATACCAGGCGTATATCAAATGCCTTTTTCTTCCAATTATCATTCAAATCTTTCAAGCATTTTATTTTGCTGTTGCCTATGATGGGTCCAACAATAACAAGAATGATACGATGGGAAGTAAAATATGTAAGGATACATTGGAAAGAATGTTTATCATTTACGATTGTCTCGATATCCAATACAATCAATAAACAATCTGTTAAAGCCATTGTAAATTCTTTGATGTTATCAGAACGAGACTCATCAAAATCACCTCGTATGTTTAAAAATGTAATTGCCTTTTCAAATATAAAGCGATCAGGCACCACTGGCAACCAAAACATGTCCACAGAACCTCCACTTAAAAAGCGTTTAGTCTTTCCCTTATTACAATCTTGATTATAAAACACCTTATTTTCATTATCAGAGAGAAGTTCATTGATCAGAGTAGATTTGGAAAAGTCTGGGCGTCCTATCCGCGCAACAGTGACAACATTACAAGGAATATCTAAAACTCCTATTTCGAGAAATTTGGAAGAGGGTTCACTAATCTCTAGTTTACTATGGATTTTTAGAGATCTTAAGGGCCAAATAGCAGCACATGGTAAATTATCCTGATATCTAATATGAATAAAGGGAACTGCACGTTTGCATAGATACAGTTTTTGAAAAAGCAACTCTTGTAACATAGAATTACAGCACTGAAAAACAACATGAAAAACATCTAGTGGACTTAACTCGTCATTACTGTCATCATCAATTTCTAATATGTCATCATCAGTTTGTTTCGATTCATCCGCATTCATTGTGTGGTCTCTAGCATCTGAGTTAACGTTGATCAGACCTCTTAATAACGTCCACGGTAAATCTTTGTAACTGATCATTTGTTTCGAGTCTTCTTTAATTAAGTCTAATGCAACAACGTCCCTCACTTTTATTTTATTTGGATATTCTTTTTCTAGTCCACATTTCTGCAGGATGTAGTTAAAGTGTGTACTTCTAACCGATTCCTCATCGCTTCCTGTAAAAACAATGCAATTTCCATTAAAGCGTGTATAACTATAAAGACAAATAATTATTTAAAAATCTGGAAAAGTAAAATCTACTTTATAAATTTATCCGGTAGGTGAAATGGTATGGAGCCGTATTACAAATGACTGGTTTACGAAACACTTATTTATATTTGTTATCTTGCTCATTATCTTCATTTTGTCTTTGAGTTTTACTACTATGTACAGGATTGGTAATTTAATGACATGTTCCCTACATATCTGCCCATACTACAATATCTGAGGAGGTTTCTGTCTGCATGAAAGGCTCCTAATAATTTTATGCACAATCTGTAACAGGTATATCTGAATTGTGAGAATATCGAGGGTGATAGCCGCAAATCATATTGCCGTCCGAGAAATCAAAGATGGTGTTCAAGATGGCCGCAAAAAATATGAAAATTTCCATATTCTCTGATATACTTAATTTCAACCACTTAAAACAGTTTCGTATATTCTGTTAATGCATTTTTGTAACAAATATATGACATAAATGAAGTTTTAATATGTTTTTTAATGTTAAAGAACTTTTTGATAGTTTTCAAGAGAAAATTGTGCCAAAAAAGTAGAAAAAATGCCTTTTTTAAAAGATGTGATGCACATTTTGTCATTTTTTTTTCTAGCTTTGTTGAATAAAGTGCTCTCTTATAACTTATATTACAGAAATAAACATTTTTACATAACAAATATGACATTAAATTTTTCATTTTATCACAATTTCTCAGATAATGCGTATTTTGAGTTGGTGGTGTAAAAATATATTTTTTATTTTAAACTTATTTAATGACATTTATTTATTATTATTTACACTTAAATAAATTATATTAGATTAAATGCAAGAACTGAAAGAATTCCAAAGAGAAAAAGATAATTAGGATACTATCATGCTACTGAGTGGTTTGGTTATACGGAAAATACTGTTTACACTGTTGTAAGTTAAATAATTGCAATATCTTAGATGCTAAAATCATTTTATTTTGCACCATTTTCATCAGATATGGGCAAGGAATCTAGGTTAAGTATCTTCTTTTATATAACAAATAATTTATAGCGTAAAATATATGTAGAACTTGAGGCCAAAATACTAGAAAAAAATACTACATTAAAATTGTACAAAGACATAGACATGGTGGCATTTTTCTGCCAACAGTTAACCATGTGTTAACTATTTGACTAACAAGTTAGTTTAATAGATATTTATCAGACTAACTAGATATTTTTTCTATTAGATAGATTAATAAGGAATAAGTGTCTACCTTCCAAAAAAACACTAAAAAGTGCCCAGAACTGCCAGTTACCAGATAAATAATAGATAATTATCTGTTTATCTATAAAACGTTTGTGTTTGTTAAGAATCAGATAATTATCTGTATAAGTATTTACATTTTCAGTTCATAGATAATGCGGAATGTCATATCCCTATCATAACTAATGTATAATAGTTTTTTATGTTTTTATACTTATTGCCACAAAAACGGATAACTCGTTTACGCATGATATGGTATTATCGAACATGTTATTACATTATACTTGTAACATCACACTAGGGATGCGATTGTTTACAAAATAAAACTATCCTGGGTTACTTTCTTCAAACTTGAGACTTGTACTTCTGCCGTTGATGCCTTAAAATTGTATTGTTAAACAAGTTTTCAGTTAAAATTCGCTGCAGTTTTACTTTTTCAAGTAAATCTACGTATCACCACTTCTGGTTTTGGCGTGTATTATGCGAGATTTTAACCTAGAATATTTTCAGGATCTAGATTTGGCATGTCAAAACATTTTGACCACCTCTTACAAAATAATGCGTCATATTTATAAAAATGTGTTGCAAATGAATGTGCATTCAAGATTGTGAATGTGGTTCAATGCAATATTCCCTTTTTATAGCAATATCCGTTCAAATTCGGTAGATGTCAACGGACAATGCTGTAAGGGACGCAAATTGTGCTATGCCGTACTGCATAGCACACTTAATCATTTTTGTGGTCACAATAGGAATACAATTTTAGGAAAACTGAGAGCTTCAGAAGTTAAGTCCTACTTTATGACCACATGGGGCGCCCGTGGCAAAGTAGTTAAGATATTAAGTTTCAAACCACTTGCTCCTCAAAACTTCACATGAAATTTTCATTGTTGGTGCGAACTTGCGAAGAAAAACCAAACGAAACATTGCTCACATGTCAGCCCAACGAATTATTACAATAAAATCGATGTTTGAAGAAACCATTCGATAAATATCATGTGTATTTGTAACTTTGAACTATTCCATACAGATATTTAACTGTATAAGAAAAACTCGCGTAAATATTAAAGGCATACACTTTATACTAAGAACTTAAAGGCTCATTATACCGCAGATACAGTAGTGCGTTTGCTCTTGTGTCTCAAAAGTTTTTTTGAAGTTCTATAATAATAAATTCTAAAAAGGTACTTTTGCCAATAGCCTGAATCATGTTTGGCGTCTGTTGCTTTTTGGAAAATAAGTACAGTTGAAGTGATCACGTATTTTGTATGCTCATGGAACAGTATTTAAACGTTGTATAAGTAATTGTTGCCCCTTCTTCAGAAATAAAATGTATCCGTTTCTAAGACATAATGTGCCTTTGATGGTTGTATAAATTCCTTACCTATCTCTAACTTTTGATCAGAAGGAGAACAGTCAGTGATGTAAGTATTTTTCTCATGTACATAAGAAGCTGTCAGACTATGCTTTTGAAAAATCAACGCACCTTTCCTGATGACCGTCTTAGCGCCTGAAAAAGATAAAAGCAGTCTTTCATTTAAGATTCTGTTCACTTTAAAAAGCAGGGCATATTAAGTATTAGAGCTAAAACATTTATTATATTCTTGACACCAATATAAACTAAACAAGATTTTGTAACAGAGTTACAAACGTCCCCCGCCTAAGGGAAGTAATAAAGCATCGATTGTTCTATTTCAAAGATTGTGATATGGATCTGGACTTCTGTGCAAAATTGTGATCAGTGCTAAATCTGCACATGCAAGCAACAATTAATTAATTAAAGAAAAATAATGAAACATCTCCTTAGAATGTGTCAACAAAAATACATTTGTATAGTATAGTTGTTGTAACTAATTCAAAGCCGCAAAATGTGACAAACACAGGATCAATATAGGATATGGTCTGTTTTAGGGTAAATTTCGTGCCAGTCACCATCAAGGTATGTGGGCAATTTATAACGGCATTTTCTTTGCATGGGCCTGACTTGGCATCATACCCTGCAACAGACTATTTTAGGCTTTGACCTCCAAGTATGGGTCTGGATGTTGCGCATGACATGCCGTCTTTTGTTTTGTGAACATTTGTGCCAAGTTATTTCAAAATCCTGATAAACCATACGAAATATACCGTAGAACAGACTATGTAAAGCTTTGACACCCATTATGAGCTTGACATTGAAGGTAGGAGTCTGCCTGTTGCGTATGATACATAGTCCCATTATTGTCAACATTTGTGCCAAGAATTTTAAAAAAAAACCCTTTGAACAATAAAAATATTATGGACAGAACACAAAGTATACCCTACAAAAGACCATGTCAAGCCTTGATCTCTAAATGAGACCTTCACCTTGTAGATAAGAGTCCGGGCGTTGTGCATAACACATCGTCTTATCATTTTAAACATTTGTGCTAAGTTATTTCAAAATTCCTTGATAGAGGAAACAGTTATGAACTAAACACCACAAACACCCTCAAAAAGACAATGTTGACATTTTGTTACCAAGTGTCACCTTGGCCTTGAAGGTAGCGATTGATTCGCTTGTTCTTTAAACTTATTAACAGTAGAAAACTTAAGTGAGAAAATCCGTTTTCACAATATAAAGCTCAACATTTGAATAAAGTGGCCTGTATATAGATAAAGTAGGAATTTCTGCGCGAACTCTTTTTGCGCGCCTTTGTCATACTTGGAACAAGCATGCCTGGGAAAGCTGGTGCTACGCGACTTGTATTGGCGCGCGACATTTGGCTGCGTGACCTTACCTGATTTGAAATGAGGAACAATAACTGAGCCGTACCAATGAGCCAGACTGTTAATTATGGAGGGTATATGTTGCCAAAAATTCAGCATTTGAAACTTGCCGATGCATACTTCGGTTCTACTAAAGAGATTAGTAGAGTAACCGATAGTTACATACTGCACTGATATTAAGCGTTTTGATTATCTCAATTTGATCAAATGAAAGCCGATAACATGCAACTTAGATAAATTGCAAACTGTATTTAGAAATGTATAACTTCAAATTTGCGACATGTAGAATTGTAAACGATAGAACGTACACAACACGATTTATGCCGTACATCATGACGTTGAGAATGTTACTGCATCAATTTACACTCTCAGGTTGACAACACCACACTTTCCTTTTACATTCTAAGGCGATTAACATTTGTAAACGATTATGCAACTTCCATATATGGCATTATGACGGAAAAAGACGAAGATTTAAAAGCGGAGCAAATTTTCACGAGGGCAGAATATAAAGAGAAGCAACTCTGACTGTACAGTAATAATGAGTTATCAAATAAAACTGTTATATATGCCACATACATCAACTGCATTGCAGTTGACTTTGTTTTGTTAAAACGTATTCTAGCACAGGATATTCAAGTAATAAAAAATTGGTTAAGATATAATGAAACAATGTAACGACGTTGGTAGAACGTCATTATACTAAAAATGAGCATAATAATATGCAAAAATTAAAGTTCGTGAATTAACATAAAGGGATGTTTCCCATATATAAAGACAAAAACCACTCTTCATGTGGGACATGGTTTGTGTGCCTCAAAACGTTACAACGGCACTAATTGTTAAACTCGTTCACAAAAGTACACGAATTATTTTGTTTTTCACTCGAATGTGATACACGAGTTTCACCTTTAGCAACATGAATAAGAAAACTGAACAGTAAGTATGTGCCTTCTTTCTTTGAAGGACTATACCCAAATTTGTGAACATGTGTTTAACTACGGAACTATATAGACAACGTTTACTATTGATAATTCCGATGTATAACAAAACACTTGTGAATTTGTCCCATTTTAATGTTTAAAAAATATTCAGTGCATTATAGCATCTCATTTTACCTCCATTGGGAGATATTTTGAATTATAAGATGTGCTTTTGCCTTTTATTATTAAATATATGTAACCTGACGTAGGTTAAGGTCTTCAGCGAACCCCTTTATGCATTTTACTAAATCAATGACAGCTCTAAGATCTGTGTTGCCAATAGCTGTTTAAAAGCAGAGAGCTGTTTCTATGTACAAGAAATACTACACAGAATATTTAGTAAGTTTTGTAAGTAATGGCTTTCTTAGAGATAGGATAAACAAGGTATACATTAATTGATAATCAACGTACTTACCTTTGGACTCATTTAAATATTATTATTGAAAAATATGGTAAAAATGGGAAAATATATCTATACAATATGGTAGAAATAACACGTTATGTACGAAGGAGTACATACAACTTTGGTTTTAATTTTACTGTTGTTGAAAACTTTTTCTTGTCAAGCCATACGCTAGTATTAAGGTTACTAATGTAATAGTTAATGCTACTTCTAGGAAAACAGCGGCCAGAATTTGGTCAGTATTAGTATTTGGTCGTAGCAAAATCTCTGTCAGATGTTGACTTGAAAATCTGAAAGTGGTAAGGTTGCGTACTTATTCCTAAAAAAAAATTGGAATCCCCTCAATAAAAGTTATTTGTCTTTAAAAAGAACATGTTCAATAAAGTCTTAACAATAATTTTAATTTTCTTGAAAAACATTACCCTCAAACCATTTACAGTTAGATTGAGACAGTTACCTGACAAGGTTTTTTTAGTTTCTTTTTCTAGGAAATGGGGTATCTAATTAGTACGGAAGCGTCCTGGTACCAATTCATAATGTTCTATTAAAAAATCCTACATAGGAGATAAAAAAGCCTAATTAGGAATTTGTAACTTATAAAGTCCTGCGTAGGTTTTTATAACTCCTACGCAGGAGTTTATTAGTCTTACGTAGGACTTTATAACTCCTACGTAGGAGATAAAAAGCCTAATTAGGAGTTTTTAACTCCTACGTAGGACTTTATAACTCCTACGTAGGACTTTATAACTCCTACGTAGGACTTTATAACTCCTACGTAGGACTTTATAACTCCTACGTAGGACTACCCCCCCCCCGGCCGAAATTTCAAATTTTAAATATAGAGGACATTTCACCTTTGGTTTATACAGAATTTATTTAAATTTGATTGTGTAGGAAGCTATAAGCTTATAGACACACTTTCGAATCCGTTCCTGGAATCAACCAGTACGTACTGAGCAATGAGTGTAAAGTTTCTTGCTCAAGGAAGCAACGGCTTGCACCTAACGGGGTTTGAACCCATGCGGCTAGCGATCATTAGGCTACTTGTCACACGGCCATGCCGCCACACTTCACCTTTTTATCAAGTGTCTCAGGTTTCTAGAGTGTACAGTGTCTTAGGGTGAGGTGTCTGGAAGCATTTGCGATGTATCCCGAAAAATTGCTTTACAGCTATACGAAAAACTTACTCGACAACAAGCATATCTAAAATATGAATATATCAAAATTTTAAAAGGCTTTAACGATTACTTTTTCCATACGAACAAGCTGAACAAAACGAGCAATTTATCCAATTTCGGCCGTTTCAAATGATTAAATCCTTATAGGGGGCAGGGGGGGGGGGGGGTGTAGTGAAGTGTCTTGTTCCTGCTCCTTAAACTTTAGAAGAAAACGGTTTGCGGAGCATTATGCATGCATATGTTTAATAATAAATGATATCCTACTTTGAACAAAGTTTAACCCATACATTTTTTTGTACATGTGTATAATCAAAATAACTAAACGTACATATTACAGAATCATCGTTTAATATATGCAGAGAATGACAAAATCATCTCTGGCTACAGACTAAGGGTATTAAAAATTTTACTTAAGCGGCTTGCCACAATTACAACTTAACACATATAATTTGTTTTACTACATAATATGCTATCTTAAGTTATACTCTAGCATACATGACCGTCGAACTCTGTGCTTTCAGTACTTTGATATGTATCCTACGTAGGAGTTTAAAAGTCCTACGTAGGGTTTAAAAGTCCTACGTAGGAGTTATAAAGTCCTAATTAGGCTTTTTATATCCTACGTAAGAGTTATTAAGTCCTACGTAGGAGTAACAAAGTCCTACGTAGGACTTATAGGAGTTATAAAGTCCTACGAAGGAGTTTAAAAGTCCTACGTAGGAGTTTAAAAGTCCTACGTAGGAGTTTTAAACTCCTAATAAACCTTTTTATCTCCTACGTAGGCGTTTATTTTTTTATAGAACATTATGAATTGGCACAAGGACGCTTCTGTAAATTAGGCTTAAAATCATTTTTAAAGTCCGCTGATGTTGATTGAATAAAGGTATAGTATGACAATCATACAAGTGAATTATGTTTGGTGAATAACTGTCATGATTTGCAAACACATAAGAGGCTCGGAAACTACGCCTGTGAGTGTTATTGTTTTCCTGCTTTCTTTTGATCTCAGACCAGTCGCTAACGGTAAATACCAAAAATGAGCGGAATAATACGTTTATTTAAGATGATGCAGTGGGCGGGAAAATGGGCGGAGCTTATTTTATCTCCTATTACAAAACATGTACAGCCGGATTATGCTGGTTCAAATCGTGATGGTTTGACAATGTAAAGCTTAGAAAGTAACTTCTGTTTTTTGGCATATACACGAACAATGAGTATTCCGTACGTTATGATGAACATTTGGTATTGTTACTCTCAGAAAACCAGTTTATGTTTTGTGGTTGAACAAAATGTATTTTGTTGAAATACATGTTTACAATGTTAAATCGGCAAACTCAGTCCGAGAATGCAACATTGGAGTTTACATACACAGAAATACAATTGTGTTTTGTGTTTTTAAACAATCTGTTCAACTAAGATCAACAAGGCTGGATTTTTGGCAACGAATAGCCTCCATAGCTAATAAACAACAGCTTGTTGATGTGTCAGGTAGTTTTTCTTCTACTTCAAGTATAATATGTCGTGTTCCCAAGATTTCAATCCTTGCGCCCCTCCTCTTTTTAATTTACGTCAATGACATGTCAGCGGTAGTGAAAAATAGACTGTTGTTATATGCTGATGACTTTGAAATACTTTTTTCTGGAAAAAGTTTATCTGAGGTGGACATTTCTGTATCTGAAGATTTGCCTTCAGTAAGTCAATGGTTAATTGATAATAAGTTATCGTTGCACTTAGGTAAAACTGAGTCCATTGTGTTTGGGTCTAAACAAAAACTCAGGTCACATTCCAAATTAAATATAAATTGATACGGCACTGCAATAGAAGCGTCCACATCTATCAAGTACCTTGGGGTAACTATTGATCAGTACCTGTCCTTTGGTTCCATGGCAGACTCAGTTATTTAGAAGGCACACGCAAGGTTAAAGTTCATTTACCTTAAGAAAGATTAGCTTAAACAGCATACCAAAAACACTGCTTGTCAATTCCTTAATTCAGTGTCACTTTGACTATGTCTGCCGTGTATGGTATAATGGTTTAAATCAGGTCTTAAATTTTTTTTTACAGACATCACAAAATAAAATGATAAAATTTGTTCTAAACCTTGATTCCAGAGTTCATATTGGCCCTGCCCATATTAAATCCCTTAATTGGTTACCAGTTTGTAAGAGAGTTGAACAAATTATGTTATGTCATGTTTTAAGGTTAAAAACCAAATGGCCCCAGAGTACTTAAGTAATTGTTTTGTTTCTCAGGAATCTATTCATACTTATTGTACCAGACTGAGTAAAAAAGGAGGGTGTTGTCTTCCTAAGGTTAAAGGTTCTGGATCAAAGTATTTTACTTTTATTGGTGCTAAACTCTGGAACAGTCTTCCAACGTGTATGACTGAAATTAACAATTTTCATCTTTTAAGGTAGCCATCAAAAGTCATTTTTTAAGTAGCATGTGTTTTTCTTAAAATTTCTTGCAAGAAAATTTTATATATTTTCATTTTTTATTGAATTATCTTTCGGCTCAGGTTTACTGTTTCATTTTTTAATTTTTTTTTTAATTTCTTTTATTAAGACTTTAAAGACTTTCTATTTTTTTGAATCCTGCCGTGCCATACATAGTAAGTATAAAATATTTTCCCAAGGGCACAAAACTGTAATTTTTATTAATTTGTATTTTAGGGAAAAAATATATTTCCCAATTTTTAAAAGCCATTTCTTTGAAAATCATAAACTACAGACTCACAGATTACACATATCACACAGACTCACATATTATTAGATAAATCATCTAGAGTGGCATGATCAGAACAATGAAAAATAATTCTGATATCAAATACAAGTAATATGGTTAAAAATAATAAAAGCACATTCACTGATCATTTAACCACAAACGTGTGCTTGGTTGTTTCTAGCAGCAGTAGTAAAAGATGGGAACGTTATATCAACTGAACACATCAATCACTTAATTGCCATAAATAACTGCGTACGGAATAAATATATCATTTTATATCAATTGTGTGTTTTTCAATATTGTTTTAACAATGAGTTTATGGGATCGTCAACATTATTGATGGTCACGTTATTTTCGACAAAATTTTGTAACTCATAAATGACGCTTAAACAATTTCAGAAAGATCATTAATTTAAGCCTACTTGTTTAAGAATAGCAATTGAGATTATCAGATTACAGTTTGTAAATTTAAAATGACCAATGAAAATTCTACTAACATTGTATATTCAGCTCTTCCCTGTTAACTTTACAGGAAGTCAAACTGATTTGAGAAGCCATTCGGCCGAAAAAGTATGGTAGCAAGAAGGTGACTTGTTTTAAATTCAACCTTTACTCACTCTCTGATATAGCAGAAATTTTAATATGAAAAGAAGCAAAAAAGGGACTTATGTACTAGTCATTTGTAACAAAAAACCTATGGGTGCTAGTGAAAGTAGGGAAATGATTCCAGTTTTTACCTTCATCTGGCTTCGAGTTTTCTTTCACATAATTTTTTACTGATTTTAACTTTAATATTTAGTGCAGGAAACATTTGTTGAAATACGATCCGGAAAGGAAGTTCTGCGTTAAATAACAATACCTTAATAACGCTATGTAAAGTCATGTTCACACTATATGCACTTGTATACTTTGTATATCGCTAAATCATACCTTCATCATTTTTGAAAACCACATAGGCGCAGTTGTTTTCACAGTCTGGAGTTATAGTATTTACAGTCCCACCACCAGCTTCTTGTTCCAAAAAGGTCTGCAGCTCATCAAAACATCGTGTTGTTAAATCCGAACTAAGACCCCGAACTATGACGACATTTGCGTAAAAAGGTTGAACATCGATCGTATTTTGGTTAATTTTTATAGGTTCGGCTTTTCTAACACTTTCCAAACCTTAAAATAAACGTTTTTATAGGTAAAATTATTGAATTATTAAAGAGATGGTTTGCAAAAATAGGGAAAATTATTCCTAATAACACTATGACTATATCTTCTCTTTATACAATAACTTCGAGTTATATGAAAGCACATTATGGCAATACTATAGCCTTATTCCAGAGCCAATTATACAATAGAAATTCCAAAGTGACAATTTAAAGGTCACTTGTAAGGAAAAAAACAGTAAGCGTACCAGCTGAGTCTTGGAATGTTATCACAAGAGTGTCACGTCTATCTGCATCTACTCTCACATCTGTGACCTTGCCATATCTTTTTGAAAATGTAAACTCCACATAATCTGTTTCAAAATCATCCGGCAAACCGCTAACAAACACACTTTTTGTTTCCGGAAGATCATCAGGAACTTATGGAGGAAAAAATAGTATAATTTACTTTATAGGACAGTCCTGTTAATGATATGGTCATAATTGATATGAAACAGGTATAAAGAAAAACAGAATCCCTTAAAACGTCCAAAGCGGCAAAATTGAAAATGTTGCACACTCGATTTGACACATTTTTGTTTTGTTTTTCCGTCTGTCGACTACGTCAATTTGTATATTTGTACAAAGATTAATTGTCGAAACAATACATACCTGTGTTTTCAAATTTTCAAATGATTATTAACATACTGTAACGTGTCTATAAGTCTTCACAACACGTTAAAACAATGTTCAATATATATATATATATATATATATATATATATATATATATATATATATATATATATATATATATATATATATATATATATATATATAATTTAAATGCTTAGTTTGGTATAGTTATCGTTTTAAAACTATTGTTTTATATAAAGTTTACTCATTTTGTTTCCCAGTTTAGGCCTCTATTAGGGAATTCCGTTTTACTCTATTTCACTAATTAGCAACAAGGATTAGCAACAATGATTAACTATCAATATGTCCTCTTATAAACTTAGCAATACTACTAATAAGTACAAAAAATGAACTAATTGAGAAATCTTCAAAATTCAAATATCAACTGGGAAAGGCGAGATTCAGTGAAGGGGGAAGGAGTTGTTGGTTTAAATTTGAAAAATAACTGAATTGGGATAGTTACCGTTGACAACAAAATGGGACATACCGACAAAACACGTTTTCCCACAATTAACATGAAAAATAAAACAAGGCATATACCTTGAGGAACACAGATGGGCACCGACTTGGAACAGTTTGCAGAAACACTACTACTTGGGAAGTAACCAGTTAATGGTGCACCAAGCCAAGTTTTTGTAATATTTGTTATACCGCCATACAGATAAATTGTAGTAAGGCATGTATCATAACCCTAATTATGTACAGTTTAAACGTGTTTTCATTTACCTTTGGACAAATCTGATTTCATTTATATGATAACGCTTGATATGATAGGTTAATTATTACCAGGCAAATACATTTAGCAACATTATCATTCAAATTGATACTATTTGTTAGTTTCGGTGTTGTGATCACGAGTGAAATATATTTAACTCTAAAATGATAACAAAGATCAACAAAGAAAGGAAACGTTCAAAGTACGAAGCCCGACACAATTCAGCCACACTAGCAGGTTACATAATTTCATTTCTTTCTGTACCAATATAGACAAAAAAGAATCGCTAAAGAACGTGAAAACGGACATGGTTGAAAATGAAGGCTCTGTATTGTTTAGCCTGTTTATGTTCGATACAGGAAAGTGCAAGCTATCGCACAAGCCCCCCCCCCCTTACTGTACCATTTTAAAATTTAAAGCTTTTAAAGTATAGATTTTAAAAAAAGATGTTCGCCTGGAAAGCAGCTCCTCAAATGTGATTTGTAAGCAGTATTCTTGTCCAAAATTTACACATTCATATTTTAGAGAACACTATTGAATTACAAATAATTAATTGTATACTGACTGTAGCTTAAATATGCCAACAATGGCATTAGTAATAATGTTATTCTTACCAATTGTCCAAGGACCAGGATTTGATTCAATGCCCGCCATAACAAGCAAAAGACCAACAAAAATAAAACTACCAATGCATTTGATGGAGTCACTGAAGTAAATATGACATTGTGATTTGACGACATCTTTGCTAAATGTACATTTAAACGTGCCTATCCTCCCACGATACGTTTGTAGGTCTACACCCATGTTCAACACCTGAAATAGTTTTATCGTAGGTTCATAATCTTTCTGTCAAGTAGAATTTTTAATTGGTTTAGATATCGTGTCTTCTGTTGTCGAATGGTAAATTGCCGTACGTCGCTTCGTGGTACCAATCCTACCAGGCAATAAGAATTTTTCATGCAAAGAAGCTAGCTTACTGGAGGTATGCGGTTCTACTCATTCACTCATATTTCGGAAAAACAGAGAAATAATAAACCCATAAAGGATGTGTAAAAGGGCTGAATTAAAAATGTTGCAGTCCCAGTGATAAAAGATTTTTTTTAATTGTCTAGACAAGTGTTTTCACAACGGCACAGGAAATGAATCCCGTGCTCGTAGGCTCGAATCTGGAGTTTCCGGCCTTCTTTTAACTTAAAGTATATTGTTAAAGAGGGTCATTTTTTGTTTTTTTTGACGCAATTTAGATCAACACAGGTTTTTTTTTTATCAATCTGGTTATATTTTTCTTCCCAGGTCCGATACTCGTGCCTGTGAATTTGGCTAGGTTTTTTGTCTTTTTTACTTCGATTTTCAAAAACATATCGTTGTCATCAAAGCTTTAAGTACTATGTTGGAACTATAATTGTTTGTTTGTTATTGTTTTGTTTCTTTTCTACGCTTTGTTTTGTTGTAAAGGAAGAATTGGTTTTAATTTGAAGCGTGAAACCAGCATTTGAACTTACTATAGATTGAACTCCCCATATAAAATCATCGAACGTTAAATGACCTATATAAAATTGTTCGTTTAGAATGTGGAAAAATTTCACGTTTTATTATTGTGATTACCTTTATTTTGCATCAGAACTGCAAATGGATATCTAATCGTCGATAAACGCCGCTTAGACCGATATTATTTTGATTTCAGTATGACAGGACGAAATAAGTTAGATCACTTACGTTATTATTTAAGTGGAGATCACCGTCACTGCAGATGTTTGTTTTTTTTCTTTTGTAATCGCACCTATCGGCTCTGAAAAAAAAAAACAGCAGTAATAATTGCGTAAATCAATTCTTCTAATTATTATACTAGGTTTCAAAATGTTTACATCGACATTATTAAAACCATCCTCTAACCCCCAAGAGTCCCACCTATGACGGGGGAGAATCACGCCGTCCGTTACCCAAACAAACAAGATGGCGGATTCAGCAGAAAAGTAACGTTTGTCCTTTTTCTGCGAAAATCGTGATGTTGTAGTGTAAAAGTACATATAATAACCTTCTCCACAGTTTTTTCCGGCTCATATGATTTTATTTCATGATGTTTCGTCCCGTACTTCATCTGAAATGCGCGTCACCAGATTAGAAGCGAGAAAGTTTTCCACCGGAAACATCGTGGTAACGTACAGCTTCTTCACTCAAATTCACTGTTTCTTTTATATATATATGCGTATAAACTCAAACCACTTACTTTTAAAAGTTGTAATATGTCGTCATCTAATCATGCATGCCAATTCTGGCTAGATTTACGGCTGTATAATTTCTGGGAATTTTCCAGAAATGATAACGTATGGCGCAGAAAATATCAGTGATAACGTACGGCGCATTTTTCTGCTCAGTAGATTTTCTATATATCAGTCAGTTTTGAATAGAGTGTTCGTTTGGATAACGTTTTCTACTAATATTGAATAACAGACTGTCATCTGGTGTATCTTTAATTTCAGTCCTGCAATGGAGATGTTTTGCAGCTGATAACTGTAACAGTAATCCTCGTTAAAGTCATCACAAGAGAACCCTCTGAGATCAAGGGGATGGACTTAAAACAACGGTTTTAATCGTTGGAATTTACATACGCATGTCTTTTTACATTCAACAAATAGTACTAGAATGCGATACATGGAAGTCACTTTTGGTAACACGAATAAAGAGAACTGAACAGTAAGCCTGTGCCTTCTTTCTTTAAAAGACTATATTGGGTTGTAGCGAAAACCAAAATGTTTGACCGAGTGTATAACCACGGAACTATTCAAAGTTTAATATCGATAATTTTGTTGTATAACCAATAATTTGTGAATTTATTTCATATTATGTTGAACTAAATATTCAATGTATCCTAGTATCTCTGTTTACCTCCATTGGGAGGTATTTTGAGCCATAGGATGTGATTTCGCCTTTAATTATTAAATATATGTAAGTTGACGTAGGTTAAGGTCTTCTTTTATGCATTGTACTGAATCAATGACAGCTGTAAAATCTGTGTATACATGCTGTCAATGGCTGTTACCCATACTTGATGTCTATCTGATCATAAGCAAATGTTCTTTATGTACATGAAATACTACATAGAATATTTATTAAGGTTTGTAAGTAATGGCTTTCTTTGAAATAAAATAAACAAGGTATATATACATCAATGACAATGACAATGACAATGACAAAAAGTTTATTGACATATGGCCAGCGGCCCAAGATCAACAAATGACATAAATACATATAATACAATGCTTACTGTGATACAAGAGCATATATAGTGATATCAATACAGTAACTTTCTTATACAGAGAATATATCTAAAGTTGTTCAAGTATACGTTTTCTTTCTAATTGAGCATAATAAATATACATAGCAACATTTTTAATTAATGAGTGGTTTCTGCTACTCATCAGAATAACAAATGATTGAATACATTGTTTGTCATAAAACTTTCTAGGAATAAATTGTGTTCGAATGTTTGAAAGTCTAGAACATTTTAATAAGAAATGGTACTCATCTTCTACCTCAACTTGACATAATTTACATATTCTTAAATGCTTCTCTACTCCATTGTATCGACCACGTTCAATTTCAAGGTCAAGTGCAGACGTACGAAATCGTGCCATTACGCTACGGAATTTACGTATATCTAATACATCAAGATACTGTTCATGGGAAAAGTTTTGTTTGTACATGGCATAAAGAACAAGTTTATGAGAATCGTTTATAAGAGAATGCCAATTTTGTAAATATTCATCTCTTAATCTAGTTACAAACTGATTTAAGAATAGCTGCTCATTTTGCACATATTGATTGTCCCAAACCTAACCCATACCATTTGAATATAATAATGTTTTAACATCTGTAACCCAGTTTTTCTTTCCATTATTTGATAGATACAATAGCATATTATAACATTTCTTTACTAATCTACTGTCAGGTAGTTTCACAATTTTGCACCAGTATCGAATAACTCGCTTTGCAGCTGTAATATATAAAGGATGTCTTCCGCAGTCACCAAGGACAGCTGCATCTATAGTGTTTTTGTTTACACACATATATCGTTTACATGCATAGTTATGTATCAGTTCTATTGAGGTTTGGCGGTGAACGCCCCAAATTTCTGAACCATACAATAAAATTGGGCTCATTTTAGTGTCAAAAATGTTAAAGAAAACACGTCTAGGTAACTGACCATAGTTATATAGTTTCGATAATGTGTGAATGAGTACACGTTTGCCTTTCGTTGCTTGTTCACTTGCCATCTTTGAAAAAGAAAGGTTAGAGCTGAATGTAGTTCCTACATAAGAAAATTTTTTAACAACTTCAATTGTACCATCAAAATTCCATTTTTCATGACGTGATAGGCAACCGCCATGTTTAAAAACCATGATTTTAGTCTT